GGGATGAGAGACAATGAGGACAAGGGGCAGACAATGAGGTCAGGAGCAGTGAGGATGAGGGGCAGTGGGGACGAGGGACAGCGGGGACAAGAGGCAGCAGGGACGAGGGGCAGTGAGGTCAGGGGCAGTGAGGATGAGGGGCAGTGAGGATGAGGGACAGTGAGGTGAGGGGCAGTGAGAACAAGGGGTAGCAGAGATGAGGGACAATGAGGACAAGGAGCAGGCAATGAGGTCAGGAGCAGCGAGGATGGGGGCAGTGGGGACGAGGAGCAGCGAGGACAAGGGGCAGGCAGTGAGGTCAGGAGCAGCAAGGATGAGGGGCAGCAGGGATGAGGGACAGCAGGGACGAGGGACAGTGGGGATGAGGGACGGTGGGGACGAGGGGCAGTGAAGACAAGGGGCAGGCAGTGAGATCAGGAGCAGCAAGAACAAGGGGCAGCGGGGACGAGGGGCAGTGGGGGCAGAGGGAGCATGGGCCAGCAGTGCCCCTGGAGCAGCCTCCCCTCTCCCTCTCCACCCACCATGTGGCTTACCAATCTCCCGAGCCATAGCCAGGCCCTGTGGGTAGGTGATGGGCGCCAGCTTCTTGTCCCGCAGCCGCTCGATGGTGTCCTTGTCGTCCCGGAGGTCCAACTTGGTGCCCACCAGGAGGATGGGCGTGTGGGGGCAGTGGTGCCGCACCTCCGGGTACCACTGCAGGGACCAGAGCCTCTGACTCCTCAGGACGGGGCCTCCTCTACCCAGAGGGCTGCTCCCTCAGCCCAGCTCAGAGCAGGCCAGGCCCCCATGGGCCCTGCCTCATTGGCCTGAAGCCCCATGCTGGGCCCTTCCTGCATCATGGGTGACCCCGGGTCTGGGGGGAAATGGCCAGGGAGGAGATAAGCAGCCGGAAGCTTCCAGTCTTATCCAGGCCTCACAGTCAGGGCTTTCGGCCGTGTCTTCCGGCCCCCCGACCCCAAAGGGCACAGGGCAGCCCTCCATTCTGAGAGCCCTGCTGGAGACCCCACCCCCACCCCTTCACCCCTCATCACCCCAGCCGCCTTCAGACCCCGCCCTGCATGCTCGCCCAAGCAGATTGGCACTTTGCTTGCCTCCAAAGGGCACTGTGCCTCTCTGAGGTCTTCAGGCAAGAAATCCCTGTGCCCCCTGCCCTGCCAGGGCCAGTCCTCTTGGGACCCCTTCCGAAGGAGTGACACCCCAGCCCTGCCCACCTTGGCACGGACGTTCTCAAAGGAGGCCGGGCTCACCAGGGAGAAGCAGATCAGAAAGACGTCCTGAGGAGGGGGAAGGACCAGGTGGGAGTGGGCAAGGACATCCCAACAAGCCGTCCCCCACCCCATCTGCGCCATAGAGACACCCTCCCAGCCGCATCCAGGTCCTTAGAGATACCTCCACCCCCAGCCCCATCAGGGCCATAGAGACACCCCCCGCAGTCCCATCTGGGACCTCAGCTCCCCCAGCTCCCCCAGCCCCCCCAGCCCCAGGCTGGCCCAGGTGGGCAGGGGCAGAGGGCCGTGGCACCTACGGTCTGGGGGTAGGAAAGCGGTCGCAGCCGGTCGTAGTCCTCCTGGCCTGCTGTGTCCCACAGCCCCAGGTTGACCGGCTTCCCGTCCACCATCACGTTGGCCGAGTAGTTGTCAAAGCTGGGGGGCACAGGCGGGTCAGGGCGGGGAGAGGCCCGGGCGCCCCAGCCCGCCCGGGTGCCCCGTCCCACCCAGCCCGGCGCCCCAGCTCACACGGTGGGGATGTACTCTCCGGGGAAGGCGTTGGTGGTGTAGCTGATCAGCAGACACGTCTTCCCCACGGCGCTGTGGACGGACAAGCCACGTTGCTGCCCGCGGCCCCTCCACCAGCGACTGCCCCCTCCCACCGAGCCAGAGGCCCAGCTTCGGTGTCTGGGTGGGGACAGGGGTCCCATCCCAGCAGACCGGCAGCGACCTAGATCTGGAGAAGGCCCGGCGAGCGGGTCTCCGAGGGGCGGGGTAGTGGGTGCGGCACAGCGGCCGACATTGGCCCAGGGACCCCGGGAGGGAAATAGGGGCAGGGGGGCGAGGACAGGGGGCGCAGGCTGAGGGCCCACCCAGGGGAGAGGCCTGGCTTCATCCACGCGGAGGACGGGCTGGTGGCTCGGACGCGGAGCCCGCCTCGCCCTGAGCACCGGCTCCGGGGGCTCGGCGGGCAGCGGCGGCCCATGAGGGCCGGCAG